TATATATGTATATATATATATATATACTTTTTTTTATGAAATCATGTATCATTTTAATCGGATATACTTGTTTCTCGAAACTTATGCATCATTATCATGTATCTATAAATCATATGTGCAAATGAGAACTTTATTTTAACATTGAAACAAATATCTTATATCTTATTTTAAATGAATATATGACAGACTGTTAAAACAAAAAGAAAAGAAAACTTTTGTCAAAAACAAGAGTTTTAGTTTTAGGCAGAATAACGACTAGAAAATGTCAATGCTAGTTTTCAGCTGCAGAGCCTAACTCAAATTTATGCTCAAGAGTCTTGACTGTACTGCCACACACACTCACACGTCACAACATGCTGCTCGTTTTTATGACAACTCAATTTCAAAATATACTTTAGTTTGTCAGCAGCAATCGCTGCTGCCCCCCAACCAGATGTCAGCTCACACCTCCCTTCACCTCAACTACCTCAGCTACGCAGCACCTAGAGCAATCCATGACCTGATCTATAACCGGACCGAGCTCTTGTTGTTGAAGCACATAAAACGCATAAATTTATGTCAAAGACTTGTAAAATAAAATAAAAAGCAAACAAATTTATTTGGACTCTTTAACAACTTTTGCGTAGATGCGTAGTTGTATCTGTAGCTGTGGTAAATGTATCTGTATCTGTTAGTGTGTGTCTATCTTTATGTAAGGTGTCGCCAGTGCAAAGCTTGCCACACAGTTTGCAAATTTATATTTTATGTGCACATGCTGAGCCGACGGAAGGGAGGGTGGGCGAGTAACACATGTTTCCGACTGTTGTTGCGGTTGGGTTAACCCTTTGGGGCTTGTCTTGAGCCCGGCAGCTGAACCTTCTGACCACTTCAGGGGATTGCTGCTGACAAAAGAAAACTTGCAGCTCATCTTGAGCCTAGCTGCTAAGCGTGCCACTTCAAAAAAGCCCGCTCTCGCAGCGGTGTGCAACCATTTAGCACCACCCAAAAGTTGACAACAACAATTTCGAGTGGCATTTTACTTAAGTGGCAATTGGTGTAAGTGCGGGCAGAGTTTAAATTCTACAGCTGAGCGCCAACTGTTGCGCGTTTGTTGACAAAGGCGGGCTAAATTCATTGGCAACATGTTGCCAACAGAGAGCGGAACGAAATGGCAATGAAATAGGCGCGCTCTTAAATACAATGCTCGGCAATGTTCGCTTTTAACGAGCGCCAAACGAGCGTGTGCGAACAGTTATTCGTTTTGTTTCGTGACCCATAAAAATGGCAACAAGCCAAAAAGTAGGCAACATGTGAGCAGCTAAGAGGATGATGCGAAGAAGATACGAAGACGATACCAAGAAGATGCGAATTAGATAAATAGAGAATGAAACAAGGTATTTGAGAGCTGAAATACTTATTCGACATATTTCTCACGTGCACACACTTCTACTTATAGAATGTTTCAATATATCTGATCTGAAACTAACCTAACACAACAAACAACAGTTGGCAACATTTGAGAGGGCAACAATGTTGCCAAGCTCTAAGCGCTCTCTTTTGCCTCACAAGGCGCAGGCCCCGGGCCAGCGAGACGCGCACTTCGTGAGCGCACTTCGTGTTGCCTCGTGTTGTCTCAAGCCGAAAGCCGAAGTTCGTGTCGCTCGTCTGCGGCTTTGACTTCGTTTTTAAAGCTATAACAAAACTCAAATTGTGTTAGTTGGTAAGAAGCATTCGTCGGCAACGGGCGGCAAAGCGGATGCAATAAGCCGAAGTTTTCTAGTCTCACATCGTGTGTGGCTCTGTTGCTGTATATGTGTGTGGGTGTTGTAAGCGCGCGCGTGTGTTGCAAGTGTCGTCGTTGTGTTTAGAGCTAATGAAAAGCCGTTGCCTACTTTCTGGCAGGGCTGGGCCAAGCTTTGCTGGCGGTTAGCGCATTGCTCATGTGCGTTGTAATTATGCAAATTGCTTTTGCTTGAGTGTCTGCTGCAATCAGCAGCAGCAGTCGCCAGTTGCCAGTTGCCAGCCGGCAGCTGCTGCTGCAGCTCAGTGACAAATGGACAGAGAGCTGTGTGTGGCAGCTGCAGTGTGGCACTCAAGTGCAACTGTTGCCAGAAAACTGGCCGACCTTGTCGACATGCCGCATGCATATTCATGCCGGGCAGCCCGCAGATCTACAACCCCCTACGACCTCCACCAACAACAACAATCACAGAAAGTGGGCCAACTGCAGCAGCAACAGCGGCAACAACAAACATTTTAGCTCAATTTAAGGCTGAAGTTTTGATGCTCCAGTTTTACCTGGGCTATGTGCCAGGACAAACGCTTCTCCTGCAGCTGCTGCGTCCGCTTGGCTCATTTGTCAAATCCTTATAATTTCTTCTGAATTTCTTTCATTCTGTTGTTTCCTTTTTGCTGGCCAACTTGTTGTCCTTGACGGCAGCGGCAGCAGTCGCCCTCTCGCTCGCCGCGCATATAAATAAATTCATTTTTATTATTCCACTGTGACAGCTGATTTTCGTCTGTCTTTTAGCACAAATAATGTGGCCAGGACATTGCATTTTTTATGGCTTTTTGTATTGTCCTGCGGCTACCTGCAACCGTTGACCTACTCGCAATTGTTCCGCTTTACGTAGCATACTTTTTTGGCGCGCTTCGCTTTGTAAAATATTGCGGAAACTTAGTCTAGTGCAATTCAAGTTTTAGATAGAGCTGGGTAAATTTGTATATAAGAAGATTTTCAAAGTTCCGAAAAGTTTATCCACGAAATTTTTGTTGTAGCTGAAAGTTTTAAAGAAGTTCGTGTGTTGCATAAATATAATTTATTATAAATAAAATTAAATATAATATATTTTCTAAATTATTGTTAAAGAAAACCATTTCGAAGGCTTGAATTACTTGAAATATATCTGTGTAATGCGCTTTTTGAAACGATGATAGAAATACATTTAACAACTTTAATGCTGATTTTAAAATATTTAAAAAGCTGTCTCGAGGTCCGATTTCTATGTATATATTTTACACTTAACAAGTATATATAAATATTATAGTTCAATTAGGAAAAGCTTGAAAGAAATTCAAATTATATAAATTGGGCTTATTCTGCGTAATTTATATTTAATTCGTAAATATTGCTTAATGCCCAAGGCTTTCTGAGTTTTCACAAACGTGCTAATAAATATATAAATTATAAAAAAAATAAATGATTGTTAGCTGTTTATAAGTTTTCCACAAAAAACATGCTGTTAAAAAAAACATTTAATTTCTGTGCTAATATCATGACTATCCCCATATCATTTCCATGAATATACAAATTTAAATAAAAAAAAAAAAACTTTCAAAAATATAAAAGAAAAGATTAAGAATGGTAAAAGTGCTGAGCAGAACAATATTGTGTCAAACTCCATTCGAACCCAAGCTTGCAAATTAATTTTTTATTAAATATAAATACATTTTTAATGTGAACATATCGGTAAGGTTCTTGACACCCATTTTGATATACTCAATTTGAATTTTAATTCGAAAATTTCTAAATATTTTAAAAATTACTTCAAAAATCCGAATTGAAAAACTCGCAAGGCCTCCTCTTCTGCTAAGTTGCTAAGCTTCAAGTTTTCGCAATTTTTATTTGCAATAAAATATTTGATGAAAGCGACGCGAGAGCAGATTTAAGCTTCGTACTTTTGCCCATATATCTTACAACTAATATTATTATTTTTACTATGCCTACAATAAATTTTAAACTGAAGAGCATTTTAACTGAATTTATAGCAAATACAAAATTAATGAAGGCCTGACCGGCCTTAAAGTATGCACAGCGAATGGGCATGAATTTAGTCACAAATTGCTCAGATTTATTTGAAGACTCTCAATGAAATTTAAATGTATAAGAAACGACACACAACGACAAACAAAAAGTAAAAAGGCCAGGTGTTATTTTGCGACCAAATTGCGACTCAAACGGTATTTATTTCTTTTGTTTGGCCCAGAAAAGCAAGCTTTATACAAATGCTGTTCTAATTGCTGAGCCAAAAGGTTTGGCTTACTGGCCCTTTAGCCATCGTCTAATAAGTTCACAGCACGCAAACAATTTTAGAGCTAGCCAACAGTTCAGAGAGGTTACGAGAGGGGCACAGGAAGAGCGAGAGAGAGAGAGCGAGGGAGAGAGAGAGGGGAGGTATTCCGGGGTACAAGCCTGTAAACATGAATAAGACATTAGGCAACAGTTAACATGTGTAGGAGTCAGAGGCCTGCGTCCATTTGCAGGCACACAAGATTGCAAACTCACACACACACACACAGTTACAGAGATTAACACGAGAGTGTGTGTGTACAGACACAAATAATGATTATTAACAAAATATGTTAATTTAATGTCTAGGCGTATCTAGAATTATATATCACTAGATGGCCGGCCGTCTGTGTCTGAGCAGCTTGGAGCTCAAATTGAAATATCTCAGGCTTTAAATATTCATTGCCTACGAGTGGGCTTGGACTTTTTTGGGGGAGGGCGTGTCCGGGGGAGGGGGGTTAGGTGTGTTGGACTGCCTGTGCAAAGTGTGTTGCACACCTTGGCCCTACGGATTTTAATCATTTTAATTGAAACACTCAGGCAAAGCAATTTAAAACTGTCTTCAAGAATAAAGCTTTAACTTACAAGAAAAAACGCAACAAATCATCTAATGCTATAAAATTATTTGGAGAAATAAATGTGGAAATGGAAATGCTAAAAAATGTCAGGCAACAACAACAACAATGTGCTGCCCGGCGGCATAAAAATGCATTTGCGCTTTAAACATTAAAATGCCATTTGCCAGTGCTTGTCAAACTGTGCCCAAGTCGGATTAATAAATTGCGTAAATAGCAAATTGAAAAAGTGCGCGCAGCAGCTGCCGCTCTGAATCATTACAGACAACAACAATAACTGAACAAAAATAACAACAAACAAGCAAACCGCACAACAACAATTCGCAATAAAGTAAAAACAAGTGAAGAAGTAAACCAAACAGCAACAAAAGCCACAACAACAACAACATAAGCAACAGCAACAACAAAGAGCAAACATGACAACCATAAAGCTGCTCATTATCGGTAAGTTTTATCTCACAATTAAACAGCAGCAGCAGCATCAGCATCAGCAACTGCAGCAGCAGCCGCTGGAATTGCATTAACAGCAGTAGCAGAGTGCTGCGGCATCATAGGTAGCAGCATTTTTTCAATACACTGCGCGCATTTTGAATAAGGGAATATGAGTTTAATCCAGTGAATTTATCCAAATCCTCTTTTAATCAACTCCAGCGCACAAGTTGCTCAACATTTATCGCATTTTGGAAAAGAGTCCAGCGGAAATGCTCAACTACTATAATACACTGCTCGCATTTTGAAGAAGAGTATAGGGGGCTGGTCGAGAGAATATACTCAAAAGCTTCTTACTCAACTCCACTTCGCATTTTGATAAAGGGAATAGGGAAAAATCATTACATATTTTTAGTCAATTTGAATCAAAACTCAATACACTGTTCGCATTTTGAAAAAGCGAATAAGATGCACAGAAAATAAGAAAAAACTCCCTAGTCAAACCGAGTGCACAAGTTGCTTAAAATTTCTGAATTCCTCATGAAATGTATATCTAAAGAAAATTTTATCACATTTTCTTAATTCCTCAAAACTAGTTTTAAATACAGAGTATTTTGTTGCCGTTTATGCCCGCCAGCAGAGTTTCTTAGTTTTTTTATTGAACTTTTTTCTGTTTGGCATAACAAGTTTTGCCACGAGTTCCACTTTGTTAGTACTATGTCAAACACGCACGAGCGTTTTAATTTAATATGAGTTTTTCGAAGAGTCGTCTCAATACTTTTTTCGAATGTTGTTTTCGAAATTAGGTGAATTAAGAGGTGACAGCAGTAGATATCTAACTGAGCAGTAAAGTTAGACTTAAAAGTAACTTTTAAAAAATCTTTAACTGAATTTAAAAATATTGTTAAAAATTAGCTATTTATATATAATAAATCAATGGCTTAAGTTTTTATTTTGGTTTTAATAAACTATAAATAAAATTAAATAAATATGTTAAATTGAACTTAAGTTACATAAACTTGGGATTAGAATTGAGGTCAAGCTGTTAACCAAACTACCGAAAATATTTATTCATTTTTCAGGCCTGCTTTAGGCAAACAAGAATGCATTGAAATTAAATTTTTAAATTGTATACCAAAAAGGTTGACAGCTGAATGCTCAGAGTCTGTACGCTGGGGGTTTTATATTTTACAGATGAGAAAAACCTCATTGATCTCTAATTAATGCATCTGCACGCCCTGCTTTATTCGTCTTGAGTTTTCATAAGCCAGAACTCAAGTGTCGATTACTTGCCTATCGTTATCTTATTTTATCTGTAAAAGAAACATCGGAACCACTTGTAGATAACGCAATTATATTTTAACTATAATACTTACTTAAACTAGAAACATATAACATAATATTTTACCTTTGTTAATAGCTAGAAAATATTAAAAATATTTTGATTATATTTTCAATGAAGAAATCATATACACATACATTATTCTGAAACTTATGCTTTTAAATATTATCATATTTATATTAAACCCAGTAAGAAATTCGTTAAATATAATATTTCTTAAAAATAAATAGAGGAAAGTATAAACATAAACATTCCTTTAATATTTATTTCGTCACAGTTTTAAGAAACTCATTATCACGCTTTCAGAGAGGGCGACTTCTCATTCTGTTATTTAACTTTAACGATTATAAAGTTTAAACATCTGCCAGTGCTTAAAGCCATTGTAGCTGTACAGATTGCACTTGACTGTGTGTATGTGTGTGTGTGTGAGCTTTTCTTTTTCCAGCTCCTTGCGTCGGGTTTTCATTTTATGCGCGCTTTGGGAAATTTCCCAATGCCACAGAGTCGGGGCTGTATTTGCGCGCGTGGGTTCGCGTTGCCGCTTCCAAGCCCAGTTTTTTGGGGCAACTCTCTTTTGCTTGTATATGTGTGTGTGAATGTGCTGCCTACGTCCCGGGCATGACCATAAACAAGACATGTCGTCCACTCGACAACGATGCCACTCATCATCACAACCTCAGGCCCTGCTCCGCTGCCGCTGCCCATTGCTCCCAACTTCCCAACACCCCATTTCCCTTCATCTTGAGCCGGTTCAAAGCTCAGAACTCAACGCCGCAAAATTTGTTAACAATTCATTTCCGCGCTTTGGGCTTCATAAATTGCTTTTATTAGCAGGCACAATAACAACAACAACAAAACCGGAATTATATTCCAACTTTTTTTTTTTGGGTAATAATACACTTGAACTTTTGCATAGCAAATAAAAAGCGTTAAAATGCGTGCGGTGGCACAGTGAGAATGAGAGAGAGCGGGAGATGGGTGTGGGGCAAGGCCAAAAGGGCGGGGGTTGCTGTCTGAAAATCAAATTAAAAGAGACGCCAGTTGGTGGCGCCCTTTGCCCTCGAGGCAGTGACAAGTTGTGAATGTGGGAACGAGGACCAACGAGCTGGACGTGAATGTCGACATGGACATGGGCATGGGCATGGACTGGACTGGACTGGACTGTGCAAGTTGTTGACAGGCACGCAGGCAATAAAATTCAATATTTCATTAAAACGCACGTTACGCATACGCAGCGTATGTCCCCTCCACACTTTCCCTTCCACGACTCCAAAACAAAAACGTAACGCAAACCGCAACTGCGTGTTGTTGCCTTTTATCACACGCAGCGTCAACTGGCCAACGCTCAAATCCGATTTCGTGTTATTAGCGCCAGACCTGAGAGTCAACCCGCCGCCCTCTACCGCACCCACAAATCCACACACACACGCACACACACATGCGACACGGTACTGACCAAATGCGGAGTCGGCGTCCAGCGAAAGTCCTGCTGCTGCTGCTGCTGCCACCAGAGTTGTTGTCCTTCTCATCGAAATTGAGTCGTTTGTCGTGCGTTGTTTGGCTGCCCGCCGGGTTGATAGGTTGGCGGGTTCATGCTTTGGTGCGTTGGCGGGTTGCCGGGTTGGCGGGTTGGGCGGCTGCGACGCTGACAGATTATTTGCCTTATTATTCATAAGGACTTGGTCGACTAGGGTCGGCCACTCAGTGGCAGTTATTCATTACATTCACCAGTCGAATAGATTGTTGAGAAAAAACAAGGTATATTGAGTACTTGAAAAGGTTTGCGACTGATTTAAATAAGTTAACTCGTTTGTAACTCAATTAGAGTGCATGTTGCTGAAAGCTAAAACCACATGAAAATCAACAACAAGTTCCATAAAACTTTATAAACTTGTAAATATGTTTGTGAAAATCGAATTATATAAATGGAATAAATGCATAGGGAGAGGGAAAAACTCAAGTTGTTTATTTTTTGAAACAGCTTCATGACAGTTGCCTCGATTTAAAAGCGCTTTTAAAAGGTTCAGTAAAACTCTATAGATATTGAAAGTGTTTATATAAAACAATTTATGAATTTATATAAATAGATATCCGCTTGCACTTAAACATGTCATACATTATAATAAAAAAAAAAATAAATTAAATAAGAATGTTTATTTAATAAATTATTGTATGTATCATTAAATGATATAAAAATAATATTAAAAAAATTTGTTGCTCATGTTTGTGCATATTATAAAATCTATTATAGGCTATAGTTATCCATTTGTTCGGCCTAAAACTCAAAGCTTTTTCCAAACTACACTGAAACTGTCTTCCAGGTATTAAATGTATAAATTTTCAGCTTGACAAAATCAGCTTTGAGTTGAATTAATAAATAATAAATAAATTCAAAACTAATTGAAAATAGCTTCAATAAAGCTTTGAAATTCCTCAAAATTGATTAATCTTCGCCTTATTTAAGTTTTTATCTGATTACCCAAACTCCTTAATTAAAACAAGCATAAAAACTATACCCATAATTATTTGTTGCTTTCTGTTATGAATTTTTTAGCCCAGCATAAATACATAATAGATATATAAATGTAATGAAATCCAATGTTACTTAAGTCAAGTTAAATGATCCGTTTGCAGGCTGATTAAAAGGGGTTTTTTTAAAGCCTGCCATTATCAATATTTATGAGCTGTAAAAAGCATTTAGCTGGCGCACTCTCGTTGACTTTGGCCTATTTAACGATTTGAATTACAATTTTATGTTTTATAGAATTTTCGTTATCTGAAATTGTATTTTACAGGGCACTTGTATAGTCACGAAAACACTTGGCGCTATTTCTCTGTGTGAGTGTGTGTGTGTGTGCGTAATGTAGCTGCTCATTTGGATTTATTAATTGCGCTCTGGCATTGTGCGTAGCAAGTAAATTAATTAGCAAATACTTGCCTTAATAATCATTTTAATGGAATTTGTAATTTAATGCGCCTAACGAGAGTTTTATGTGTGATTACGGCCACCGCTTTACTTGATCCCCCCACCTAGAGCCAAGCACCCAATTGGCCTGAGACTCCACGACTCCGCTATTGATTTTCTGTGTCTGCAAGTCAACTGAGCCACAACCAAAGCCCGCAGCAGCAGTAGCAGCACTAGCGGCAGTAGCAGAAACCAAACCAGAACCAGAAACAAACCACAATTTATTTAAGCGGCTTTAAATATTTCAACATGCCAAGTTGGCAAGTGAGCCGATGACGAGGTTTCCAGTCATCGATGGGGGTTTCGCTTGGGTGTGTGTAGGTATTTTGTTAGCCTAGGGGGGCTACTCGACTCTCGGCACTCAGTTCTCAATTCCAAGTTCTCAGTTTCGGTCAGTTGGGTCACTCAACTTTCTGCCTAGCCGGGACAGTCAATCACTTAATAAAACTTTTATGGCATGCCATTAATTGATGGCGCTAAATTCTCAGTGCAATAAAACACAAAAGCAATTCAAGTGGGCACGGTTAGGGTATTGGCATATAATTGGAATAATTTTGCTGCGTGCGGTGGGTTTTATGTTTTGTGTTTGTTTTTTATTAACGATTTCTGTGTGATATGCTAAATAGCCAGAAAAGTTGCCCATCAATTTTAAAGCTTTCAATTATCGGGGCGATAAGCTGAGTGTTGCACAAATCCTGAAACTGAATC